AAAAAAGTTTCTTTCTCTCCCACAGACAGGAAGATTTTCCTCTACTGCAAACTGAGAAGAGGGCAGCACTTTCTGGAAGCATAATTTTCAGGGAGAAATAACAACAGCCAGAAGCTGTTTGTAATCATACCAAAAAAAAAAAAAAAAAGCATTAGAAGAGCATCTATTTCTAATTATATATTTACCTCTTCATAAGGCTTCCAACTAAAATGTAATTCTCATCTTGGAAAAGTGGTAGAGAGGAGTCGTTGGAACAGACTTGAGACAGCAGATGTTCTGGTTTTGAATCCTCGTTCTGATATTAAAAGCTGTGTAATCTTGGGCAAGTAATTGAACTTTGCATGTCTCAAGTTTCCTCATATATAGAACAGGGGTGAAAATAATCCTATCTATCATATAGGTTTGTGGTGAGAATTAAATAATCCAGTATTTGTGAAGCATTCAGAATGGTGCCTGGCACACAATTACTGATATAGAAATATAGAAATTATTACTAATCTTAGTTATTCCATACAAACACACCTGTCCAATAAAGGAGCTACATTTCCATAATGCACATTCAAGTGCTCGCCTTGCTTCACAAAGGAAACACAAATAACAACCATACTCTTCCTCTACCCCTTGATGTAGATCTTATTTAAATGGATGACTCACGAGCATTTTCCACTTTTACCTATTCTGCTCCTGGGGTGGGAGTGACAAAAGAAACTAATTGTCCTTCCTAAAACTACAGTCAACATCTGAAGTCAGACGGCAAGTCTTTGTTTTATCTTTCCTTTTCAGGGAAGAACAATAGTTTCAAATGATAGTTTTTGCGTTCCTAGCGAAAGGCAGTCATACTAGCAACTTGCCAGATGTCTCTGATTAATTTGCCTGTGTTCCACCAGACATTCAGCATGAGCTTGTAATTTTGCTCTGCCAATGCTGAAGTTTGCTAAACAATGTCTACATAAACGGAAAATTTAATTTCGGTGAAAAGCCTGACCTCTTAATACATAGTTGTCTTGGTACTCAAGACAGGTCAGACATGGACAGAGATGCTCTCTGGACTCTTCCTCACCCTCCTTGGCCAGTGATATTCAGTTCTCAGCCTTGGGAAGCACCATACTCATTTGGGAACCCATTCATATCCCTTATGGATATCACAGTCTGTGCTATCAGGTGGATCAATCCCATTCCCTATATCCTTTCCACACAGGCTCTAGCTCTGAGGATCCAGCCCTTGGTGAACACTGATGCAATAGATAAGTGCTGCTCAACTCTGCTTGGAAGAAGCCAGGAAGCACCACTATTCTTCCCACCAATCCATAGGGCATATCAAAATAAATCAGACTGGTACCCAAACTGGCCTGACTTGAGGCCTTTGAGTTTTGTGGGGAGTTCTAAGAACACTAGGATTGTAAGGTTAAAAAACTGGTTTCAAGGTCAAGAATCTTGGATTCTAATCTTAGCACTGTCACTTACCGTGGCATATTTGGCAACTCCCCAGCACCTGTTTCCCCCCTTCTCCAGGAAAAGGGGTAGTGTGAAACAATCTCTAAGGCTCTTCTAGCTCTAAATTGTCTGCTGGTTACCATAATAAATTTAAATCAGAGATCGGAGCATTTGACATACTGGAGTGCTCTGACTCATCATGATTTATGACACCTCGGTAAGGCTGAATATCTGTAATAAAAACAATCTACGTGCCCACATAGTTGCATGCCTCAGACAATCAAACATGGTCAGTGGGTACAAAGCCAAGTCACTACAAACGACAATGATATGCTGCTGGTTCAGTGCAGTTTAAGAGTGACCGCCCCCCCCCCATTGTGTCCACCTCAACCTGACAGGTACATTCTCATTTTCTCTGGCTTTTGCCCTAAAACTGAACACAGGTCCTATGTTGTCTTTATAGTATTCCCAAAGTTCTCTAGGTCATAACTCCCATCTCAGAAGATAGCAGCTCCAGTCAAAAATGCATATCCACTTCCAAAGAAGATATGCGAATGGCCATCAAACACAAGCAGAGATGCTCAACATCACTAATCACCAGAGAAATGTAAATCAAAACCACAATGAGATATCACCTCATACCTGCTAAAATGGCTGGTATCAAAAAGACAAGAAATAACAAGTGTTGGTAAGGATGTAGAGAAAAGGGAACCCCCAGGCACTGTTCGTGGGAATGTAAACTGGTACAACCACTATGGAAAACAGTATGGAGGTTCCACAGACAATTAGAAATAGCATACAATCAAGTGTCACACTACTGGGTATTGACCAAAAATGAAAATACTAATTTGAAAATATATACACACCATTATGTTTACTGCAGCATTATTCATAATAGCCAATATTGAAAGCAAACTGAGTGTCCATCAATAGATGAATAAATAAAGAAGGGGTGTGTGTGTGTGTGTGTGCATGTGCGCGTGTGCGTGTGCACAGTGGAATATTAATCTCATAAAAAAGAATGAGATTTTGTCATTTGTGACAACATAGGTGGAAACTAGAGGGGATGGTGATAAGTGAAATAAGTCAACAGAAAGACAAATACTAAATAATTTCAGTTATACGTAGAATCTAAAATACAAAGCAGAACAAACAAACTGAAACAGGCCCTAAATATAAAGAACAAACTGGTAGTTGCCAGAAACGAGGGAACTGGGGGACAGGTGAAGGAGAGTGGGAGGTATAGGCTTCCAGTCATAGAACGCGTAAGTCGCAGGAATGAAAGGTGCAGCACAGAGAATATAGTCAATGGCATTGTAATAGCATTGTGTGGTGATAGATGGCAGCTACACTTGTGGTGAGCATGGCACTACTTATAGAACCTGAGGCACAAACCAATCAATGAAAAAAAGTGATTCCTAAATTCTAATTAATTTTTCAATTTAGAAGCACAAGGCTCTATGAAAGTATATGTGGAATATTAGGGCAGAAATGATCTAGTTTGGTCTCTTCAGGACTTAATCATTAAAAAACCATTAGCCTCTTTCTTCATCATGACCTCAATGTAGACTTTAATCCATCTGGCTCCCTTTTATGATGAGGGGAATCATTACTAATGCTTATTCAAGAGCTCTAATGTCTTCCCTCCTGTCTCCCTCTCACTATAGATAGGTGGTTTGGCCCAGAAATTGTACCTAACTACTGACTTTCTTTTCCTGGTTATAATAGAACCAAAAAAGAAATACAAAGAAACACACTCATCTTGGATTGTTGAGATAAACAACTAGGAGAATGGTTTCTATCTCAAGATGGGCAACTCTTTGGGACAAAACAAATGAACAAAATTTTTGCTCAAGAGAAATCTGGTGGAACATGTAGGGAGAGGGTCAAAGCAGATGATTTACTATCAAATTCTTTCATGCTTCTTTCAGATATACAAGAACATTTCTATTTGAATGATTTTTGTGGATAAATAATATATTGTGCTTAAATATATATAGCAATATAATACAATATAATACATAATATTTAATATTATCTATATACGCATATATCTCTGTTATATCAAAAAAAAACACTAGACGATATCCAATTTTTGAAGCACAAGTCTGTAACATTTATAATTTCTGAATCCACAAATAAATGTTATTTTTGCAAAGGCATTAGATAAGACCTTTCTAAACCAACTAATAATAAAACTCTTGGCTTATAACAAACTCTTCTGAACTCTAACATTCATCAGATTTCTTTCAGCCACAGAGTATTATGATTAATAATCCAGCATGACTTGTTTCCTTAGCAAATATTTATTGATCACTCACTATGTGATTGTCAACAAATTGATGTATTAAACCTCCCTTTGTAATTCTGTTGTCGAAATTAATCATATATTTGTTTAAGTCAGATGTTTTACATTGATTTATATGACTCATGTTTATGAATAAGTTAAAATTTGTTTTAAATTCACAAATCTTGCATTTTCTAAGAGAAACCCAGGCTCAGCCAAGACATTATCAAGGCACCAGGTCTAATTTTAATGAACAAATATTCATTCATTTAAAAATAATGCAGAAATGAGACCCTAACTTGGGATAGTTCCAGTCCATCTTTCCTGTTTAGGAAATTCAACCTTCAGTTAGAAAAGAAATGTACATACACACACACACACACACACACACACACTCACACACAAAGACATGTATGAACACATACGTTCAAGAATGCTGTCATAAACTTTTAATGAATCTTGTAAAAAGTCTTTATTTTCAAACTTAATTCTAACTTTTCATTGTTCCCTCTGCCTGAAATGCCCTTTCCACCTCATCTATGCTTCTTTCCCTCCTTCGGGGCCCAGATAAAAGTCACCTTCTCAGCCAGGCCTTCATGAGAAGACCAATTCTGTTGCCTCCCATCTTTCTCTCCCTCTAATCGCAGACACCCCTACTGTACTGTTGGTCTCCAGCATATCGTGTATCCCAATTATACACATCTCCCTGCTTTTGTGTATACTGTCAATCTCCCCACGAGAAGGCCTCTGTGCCTATAACTCACTAATACACACTTAGCATCTAACACAGCGTCTGGCAGGTGGTAGTACACAGCTTAACCTGTGGGATGAATGAATGGACTCCTCCTCCATGGAGGATCCAACTTATTCCTTTACCATGATGCTTGTCAACTAAGTGCTAGCGAGCAGTTTCTGCTATACGTATTCATAATTCACTGTGATCTGTGTATCCCTTTAAATCCCCTCTTATAGAGAGAGAGGAGGGCAGACATCCTAAGACTACCTCTTCCCTCCCCTACGGTTTTCGAGATCATGGAAATGACTTTCGCAAACCCAGCTCCTCAGTTATACACATCACACACCAAAGTCTGGCTAACGCGCAATTCCTGATTTAAAGAAAAGTTTTGCTTTTCCAAAACAAACCAAGTTTAGAAGTCCCTCTATCCCCAAATCTGAAAGGGTTATTATCTTTTTTCCACTGAGGTGGCCTAAAAAATATCACCCACGTCTTTCATAATCTTAAAGCTACTGGAGTCAAAAAGGTGTGGGAACTTCTTACCTGGAGTCTTTTCTGACTCTTGCTTTCTCGAAAGAAAATTCAGGGGGTTTATTGAGGTCATAGGTTCGGGTGGTAGGCTCAGCAGACACCCCCGCTTTTGCTCCCCTCCTGCTATGGAGGGAGACCAATCCCGAGGCCTTCCGGTGGACCTCAAGAGGCACTTTATCTGGAGAGGCCTGAAGCGGGCTTCCTCCCTGCATGTGCACCACATCCTGAAGCTTGTTCAGCTGGATGCACTTGCTCTGGAGCTCCTCTGTGAGCTCAGCAATGGCCACGGTCTGCTTTGACAGCTGTTCCCGCAGCTCCTTCAAATGGTATTCCCGCTCCTGGATCTCAGCATCCTTCCTCCTCAGCTCCCTCTCCAGCTCTGTCACCTTGCTCCGCAGCGCATGGGTGGTGAGGTTCCCAGAGTGGCCATCTGGATGCTTAGAATGTTTGGGTTTCACCGAACCATTTCCCATTTTGCTCAAGGACCTGAGAGAGGACAGAGAACCGGCAATTACCTCGTGGAGCTTCACCACCCAACAGCCCCCACCACTCCCCGTTCCTATCTGGTTCACAAATAGAAACACAATGGTCATCATTATTTGATAAGCAATAAATTCCCTCTGCATCCAGAAGCAAAGCTATTGACTGCTTTCCCTTATGTCTCCATGAGTTGGCCTTGGATTCTTTCTTCCCTGGCCCTTTGACGGAACAGGAGTCACTCCTAAGCATTTTGCACAAGTGGCCTGAGTTACCCGCTGTTCTCTCTGGTCGTTCTCCCTGCACAGCTGTCTGAAGCACCACAACAGGGCTGCAATTTGGATGTCAGCATGGCAAAGGTGCAACACAAATGAGCAGCCACAGAAGCAGAGGCTTGGAAATGTTACCACTTTCCCAGCGCTCTGTGCAGCTACAGCGAGCAACTATGCCCTGAGCTGGAAAGCAGCACATCTGCCTTCCTCCGGAGAAGGAGACTAAGTGATATTGCTCTATTATTTGCTTCTGTTGTATGGACCTACTATGTTTTGTATTTTGGATAGTGCTCACTGTTAAAAAGTTCTGGGTAGCAGTTACTAGAAAGTAACACAGAGAGAGGTGTGTGGATTCACTGACATCTTTTACTTTTTATCTTAAAGCCAAGGTTGTCCAAAATATGAGGAAGTATGGTGCAAAGTTCCATTCTTTTCCTATTAAGAATGTGCTCTGTATGGGGCGCCTGGGTGGCTTAGTCGGTTAAGCGTCTGACTTTCGCTTGGGTCATGATCTCGCGGTTCGTGGGTTCGAGCCCCGCGTCGGGCTCTGTGCTGACTGCCAGCTCAGAGCCTGGAGCCTGTTTCACTCTGTGACTCCCTCTCTCTCTGATCCTCCCCTGCTCACGCTGTCTCTCTCTCTCTCCTAGAAATAAATAAAACATTAAAAAAAAAAAAAAGAATGTGCTCTGTGAAGGCCCCAAAGTGGTCACTAATCCAGCAAACCTCAGGATGTGACACACAAATAAGGATCATTAGGGTGATTTAGATGATTCAGATTTTTTTTAGTTCAAAACTATGTGGTTATTTTAACATTCATTAGAAATGTAAATAATTGGCCCCACAAAGTTGCAATTTCATTGATATTATTGCTGAAGTGAAAGATAAATTAGGTATTTAGGCTTACTGAGTCAATTCAATGAAAATTTCTTAAAAATCATCTGCACGGTGGTTCAGTCAGTTAAGCGTCCGACTTTGACTCAGGTCATGCATGATCTCACAGTTCATGGGTTCGAGCCCAGAGTGGGGCTCTGTGCTGACAGCTCAGAGCCTGGAGCCTACTTCGGATCCTGTGTCTCCCTCTCTCTGCCCCTCCCCCATTCACACTCTGTCTATCTGTCTGTCTCTCTCTCTCTCTCTCAAAATTAAATAAACATTTTAAAAGTTCTAAAATAAATAAATAAATAATGAAAATAAAAATCATCTGCAGATAATAAGCAAACATGAGCAAGACCACAAAAGAGAACTTGAAACAGTGAGTTTGGAAAATATTGCTTTGATTAGTTATCATAAGGTTCTTTTTAGGTGGCTACCTATTTAAACTTCATACTTGTGCATGTGCAATTTTTGACAGCCACAACTCAAGGAGCATTATAACACTTGTAAATTAAGCTTAAATTACCTCTCATTATATAATACCCAAAGAGCTAGACAAAACTTTATAGTTATATAAGCCACACATTCTTGCCCCTCTCTCCCTCCAAATTTCAAACTCAAGGAGAAATGAAATGCTTAGACCAATGTTAGCTCTCCCGGAACAGTTGTGATCTCTACAACAATAAAGGCATACATGGAAAGATGTAAAATAGCTCTAAGCCTCAAACAGATGCAACCATATAGCCAATGCATATAGCCTAAGATGGATGTTACAAACAGAAAATAAATGCACTTGTAAAAGTAATTTTGCAATACCCAGATATTCCTCATAGAATTCAGGTTCAAAGTAGTCATTAATAAACATTAGCCTCTGGAGAACTGCCTTACTATATTGCAGAGATTTGGCAGGTTTAACCTTTAACTTTCTCTTGACTTGGCAACATTTACTATTCTTATATATTAAGAATATATATATATATATATATATATATATATATATATAAAGGTTGAGATTAGAATTCAAATTAGTGGCCCTGGACACTCTTATATCCCAAATAAGCAATTCAGAAGATGTTAGATTGGGACCTAGGAATAAACTTGAATGAGATTCTGAGTGACAGTCATGAGATGGGTGCCCCCAGAGGTATCTTAAATTAATGTGTGCACAAGGTTTTAACACGCAGCAGTGAGCCATCTTCTAGGCATGTTTTTTAGGTCCGTGGACAAGCATTCCTAACCAAGGCAGGATGGAGGGAGGGAAATAGAGGAAAAGGAACTGCCTTATAAAGAAAAGTGAGCATAAAAACCTTCAAATGTAATATTAAACTAACTGAATCTTTTTTTTAATGTTTATTTATTTTTGGGTGGGAAGGGCAGAGAAAGAGGGAGACAAAACCTGAAACAGGCTCCAGGCTTCAAGCCGTCAGCACAGGGCCCCACGTTGGGCTCAAACCCATGAACCATGAGATCATGACTTGAGCCAAAGACTGATGCTTAACCGATTGAGCCACCCAGGCACCCCAAACTAACTGAATCTTTATTCACAGGACAATTGTTTCCTAAGACCAAACTGTCATGTACTGTATCAGGTGCATAAATCCATGAATTTGCCATAAATTTGACAGAGAAAACAGGGCTAGCATTCTAAACGTGAAAAGGTTTTAGAATCATTTTTGTTGTATGTATGGTATTCAAAATATTCTGTCCTGATCCAGTAATTTTACAAACCTGAAACACAATTAGGCATGTGTTAAATTCTCCCCAAACACTAACTATTCTCCGGTTTTAACGAAAACAGTTTAGAAGCTGTGTAAATCTTTCAAGCTATTTAGAATTCCAAAGAGGGGTGAAATGAGAGTACCTGGCTCATCTTTCAAGTAACCAATTTAAGATATGTAAGTAAGTTCCGGAATAGCTCAATACTCAGTCTGATTGCTTACTTAGTTCACTCATTTAAATGATCTTGTCCCTCAAGCCAAGGTTTCAAGTGTTTGGTTTCACAAAACCTAATTAGACTCATTCTGTTTCCTATATTCGTCACTAAGATAGATAATCTATTTCTCAAAAATGTATGGCTAGCCACAAGGAGAATGTATTACTGGCAACAGAGGCTGTTGCTCCATCGATCCAGCAACTATAGGTTAATAGAGTCATTCGTAGAATCAGGGGGCAAGACATGATGTAATAAATGAGCTTGGAGATGAAGATCAGAATTTAACTTAAGCAATGGAGTCAGTCCAGCCAGGGTAGGAAAACAACTGGCCCTTTCCCGGCTGCGTAGCCTTCTACAAATGACTTAGAATCCTTGGTTTTCTAATATAGAAAGCCAAAGGATTATTATGAAGATTGTGTTTGGAAGGTATCCTGTACAATATTTGGCACACTGCAGGCAGCGGGTAGCTCTCACAGTGTGTGGCTGGAGACAAGGCACGGAGCGTCTTGATGCAAGGAAACTTCCAGAAGAAATCATTGCTGGGTGGGACAAAGTCTGGCGTGCTGGATGCCTTCCAGACAAGAAGTCTTTAAAGATGCCAATTACTCCGTGGGGTTAGGGGACCCTTAACTTGGCCTGGTTTATCTCTTCCTTTAAGAAAAGAAGTCATTCTGGAATATCTTAGGGAAATCTTCCCTGATAAGGGAAGCTCCACCAAAACATGGAGACCAGAAAGCATCATAAATGACCCAGCCCTGGTGCCAGGACTGCAACAATTCCCCAAGCTTCGGAATTCCCTCTTGGTGCCCCAACCTGTTTGCACATATTGCACTGTAACCCTGAAACTAAAGGAGCCCGCCGAAGTGGTTTTGAAGACACTAAAGAAACACGACTCACTGTGAATGCAGTATTCTTCTGTATCCAGAAACAGGCAGGAGGAATAGAATGCGTTGTGGCATTTGGCAAGAAGAGAGGAAAACTACATAAAATTTTAAATTATTATTGCATTAATGTGACAGCTACGTAGGAAATGTCACACACAAGAAGTAACTGGAAAAGACACAGAAAAAGCAAAACTGTGAAGGCTCTTGCAGGTGGATTAACACCTGGCAGCCAGCGTGGGAGGAATTAGGCTTTGTTGTCTGTTTTTTCTCCAGCTCTACAGTAGTTTGAAACCAAAATCTTGGCTCTGACTAGATAATATCTATTCTCTCTCTCCCCCATCTGGAGTCTGATATAAATACATATATCTGTAAATATGGGAGATGGTATAGTGCTGGCTATAGTTATACAGCCAGAGTCTTAATCTGAGCCCTTTTGCTTAGTATATATATGCCCTTGGGCATGACTTGGGGCTCGAGTGTCAATAATAGAAGACACAGACAGACCCATGGAGGTATAGGCAGGTAAAATAACTATACACATCATTTAGAGTTATTAGAGGGTCAAATGAGATAAACCATCTTAAACATTATTATTAATACTTGTTAACATTATGTACCCAACAAAATAACTCATCTTAGTAGAAAAACGTATTGATCAAAAAGTATGTACTAAATAAACACAATATTATAGGAGAACGAAGTCAGTGGTGATACTCCCAGACTTCAAGACTTACTGTAAAAAAAAAAAAAAAAAAAAAAGAGAGAGAAAGGAAGGAAGGAAGAAAGGCATACTATAAAGCTTGCAGTAATCAAGACAGTGTGATATCGGTAACAGAATAGACCAATAGGTTAATGGTATATAATAGAGCTCAGAAACAGACTCGGAAAAATATTGTCAACTGACCTTTGACAAAGGAACAGAAGCAGTTCAATGGGGAAAGGTGGGTTTTTTTAACAAATTGGACAACAATCCACACACATGCAGACACATTAATCTAGACAAGGATCTTCTATCTTTCACAAAAATTATCCTCAAATATTTCAAAG